TAATAAAATTTTAAAAACTAGAAAATTAATAATTCTAGCAAGAAAGCATTTGGACCGTTAGTTTCCAATGTTTTTAGATGGAACACCTACTTGCATCCATCTTTAAGATGGATGCTTTACATTTTCTGGATCACACATTTAGAAATGCGGTTCAGCCCACATGAAACAATTGTCTTATATATAAAAGAAAAAGTTTATATAAGATCGAGGCCTTAAACAATCAAATTAAGGCACACCTCAAAAATTCATTGGAAGAGATTGTTTCGATGTTGAAAAACCCTCGAAGCGATTATCTCTACCTCGAGATGTATAGATGTGAAAACACATGAATTTTAAGTCTGGAAAATAGTGCATCTTGTAATGCATTAATTAGGCCATCCATTTTCAAATGTTGATAGATCCGATCTACACCATTTTTGAAGTTTTAAATTTTTTAATTAGAGATAAAAATAAATTTTCAGGTCATCACAAAATTTATTGCTTTTTGAAAAAGCATATTTGGACACTATTTAGAAGCCCGGCTTACTTTGATTGTTTAAAGCTATGATTTCAAACTTTAAAAATAGTGTATATTGTAACACATTTTTTGGGCAGTTCATTTTCAAATGTTCATGAATCCATAAGATCTGTACCATTTCTTGAGCTACAAATTTCATAATCGTTAGTTAAAATAGATGTTAGGGCCATCTTAGGGATTTTCCATGCTTGAAGTGTTTCCTGGAGTGTTTTTCAAACAAGACTTTGATGTGAAGCCTTACTTTTTATTATAAGGCTTAGGCCTTATAGAAATTGCATCCTTAAATATATAAATCAGTGTTAAAAAAAAAATTGGTGGAGTGGATTGTCCAACCCCAATCCCTATTTAGATTAGTGATCCAAATCATTCTTGAATTGTCTGGATCGATGATAAATAACAAATAAAAAATAAAAAATAAAAGAAATAAAAGAAAAATTAAAAGTGATTTAGGGAGGACCATAGAAAATATTAGGTAAGATTAAAAAAAAATCAGTAAAAAAGAAAAGAAATAGGGTATTAGGATGAGCCATGACCCATGCTATTTTGAAACTGATTCGGTCCTGACTAATTCTGCATCCAGATCGACGAACTGGATCAGAAGTCTCCAGTTTAAAAAAAAGGGAAAATTGCAAAAAAAAAAAAACACTATGCAACTTACCCCCAACATATATTTTTTCCCCAAAACAAACTTTCTATGCAAATACCCCAAGAAAAAAATTCATTAGACGGAAATGCCTTCCCTTATACAAAAATCATTCTTGCCAGACTTTTGGACCAGTAGCACATTGCCAGATCGAACCATGACATTGTCAGAGTGCATAAGTGCCAGATCGCCCTAACACAATTACCGGACCCTGAGCGAACCATCATATTGTTAGAGCGCATAAGTGCCAGATCGCCCTAACACAACTACCGGACCTAAACCTAGTGTTGTCGGACCTCTCTTTGCAACTGTCGGACCTCTCTTTACACAATGCCGGAGCTCTATTGTCGGATCGCACTTTACAGTGCCAGAGCCCTACTGCCGGACCGCACTTACATAGTGCCAGAGCAAGTAAGGTAAAAGGAAAGGAGGGCAGTTTAGGTATTTTTTTTTATTTTTTATTTGGTTGGGGGAAGTTATGTTGGTGGTAAGTTGGATGTAGTATTGGTTTTTTTGTTTGTTTGTAATTTTCCCATTAAAAAATTGATTCTCAATCACTAACACAAGTAATTAAAAAGTTAATTATACTTATAGGGTTGCTTTATCCATCAGGCCTCAGCTTTCTTAGAATTGAAAAAGAGAAATGTTTATTTAGTGACAAGTCCTACAAATATTGGGTTAATTGAGAGTAAGAAAGATACCTCGTTACAGGGATTTGATATAATGAAGGGCGTTTTCGTCATTTAGCAATTTTAAAATACCCTACCGTTTAAACCCTGGAAGGTTTTTGAAGAACCCCTTCATTTCTGCGTCACCATTTCCTTGAATGATGGCGGCATTTCTCTTGCTAACCAGAGCTCCTGCGAAAACCCTAACCCTAAATTTACTTTTTCTCTCTCCTGCAACTACGAATAGGCCATTAATTCCGTCACGGATTTCCTCTTCTCTTTACCATGTAAGGACCTTCATCAACCCATCTGGGGTTTCGTCGGGTCCGTCATCTCTTTGTTATGACACTATATCATCAATTAAATGTAGGGTTTCTCCCTTTCTATGCCATGAAAGGGTAGCAACTACATCTCCATATATGATTTCTAGGTCTTATTCCTCAATAAAAACATCTAGGGTTTCTACTCTTTCACTGTCTCGGTACTGCCATGGGAGGACCATGATCACATGGTCTTCTCCAACATATGAAGATGCAGAAGCTGCTTCCATGCCTTCGCTAGCTGCTGATTCTCGTATTCCAGCTACTGTTATTACTGGATTCCTCGGCTCTGGAAAGGTTAGCATTAAGTTTTCATCCATTTTTCATTTTTCTTCATCTGTTCTGTGAAATATGGAATTTCAATCCAATATTGAAGCCATGGAAGCTCCCACAATTAGAAAGAAGTGCTGGTTTTAGCATATAATTGCCAAAATATAAATGGCAGGCATATTGTCTCCCTTTTTCTTACAATTGCGAACTTTAAGAGGTTTATTTTTCAAACTCGAATGAAATTCAAGTGTCGTGTAGGAATGGAAATCTATTTGTGTAAGAAAAGGCAAAGCATGATTTAAATTTTATTAGTGTCAATTAAAGATCTTTTTTTGAATAATATCACATTTATGCTGCCTAAGTTTTGATATAATGTTAGTGTTTGTTATTGCTTACACATAATTTATTTCAATAATTACTTATTATCAGATAAAACTTAAGAGATTTCCCGATAGTCATCCCTTGATGAACTTTGAGATAATCATTTTCCAAAATGACTCCCAGTAATTCTTCCACTGCAAAGTTCCATGGATATCTCCTTGGGCTTCATTCTAATTCCTGATCATATTTATTTCTTGTTTCATCAAAAGCAGTTATTTTAACGCTTCATTTATAACTGCCTATAACTGATGAGATGAGTCTTTAATTCTTTCTTGTATAACTCTCTCTCTCTCTCTCCTTTTGTTTTGTGTGTGTGTGGTGGGGGGGTGGGGGGGGTGATTAAGGAACTTGCCTATAGATTGTTTGTTACATTAATGTTTTCTGTCATTGAATATTCCTTTCAGTTACCTACCAGTTAATTCAGAAGAACTTCAGTTTTGATGAACATGGAAGGAAATGGTTTTAGTTATTACCAACCTTTGATACAGTTGGGTTGGATGCTTTTGGAAAGCAGCTTTCGATGGGTTGGGTCACCTTTATATGTGTTTGATGTGTTGGTTATACATGCTTTACTTTTCTTTGTTGTTTGGGTAAGGATAAATGCTTTACTTTTGAGACGCAATCTTGTTTCTTCAGCGTCCTAAATTTTGAAATGATCTTTTAGAAAAATAGGCCCTTTTGTTTGAAATTTTATGTTTGTTCATATGGGTTTTATTTTTCTATCATTGTCCTGCGGTGGATCCTGTCAACTTTTCCGAAGATATGTAATTCATTCTTATTTGTTAGTTGGCACTTACCTTCCTGTCAATCCTTTTGTCTTGATAAGGTAAATTCTCATGTTTTGTTTCTCTTATTAGGTATTTTCTTATCTGTTTTATTGAACCCTTACCTGTTCTTTTGAGATATCTAACTTGGTGAATCTGTTGCAGACAACTCTTCTCAACCATATTTTAACAGCTCAACATGGAAAAAGAATTGCTGTCATTGAGAATGAGGTATAATCTGTGTGCTTCATTGTTCATTTAATGGAACCCTTCTCAAGCATTTGGCCTTATTCTTTGTTTCTAGTTTAGAATTTTATATCTATATTCTTTTCTCTAGTCTTTGAACAAAAACCCTCAGAGACATGAGGATTGCAGATAAAAGGGTAGAAGAAAATTGGATAAAATATGTTGTCTTGTGCTGTTAATTCTTTAATAGATTATTGATGTTGATTTAGCCCAAAGACATTTTACTATTTTTTCCTTATTTGCTTCCCGCTATTGGCAGTTTGGAGAGGTGGATATCGATGGTTCACTGGTTGCTAACCACTCTTCTGTGAACGAGGACATTATAATGGTTAACAATGGTTGTCTTTGTTGCACCGTGAGAGGTGATCTTGTCAAGATGCTCCTGGAGTTAGCCAAGAAAAAGAGGCACCTGTTCGACCACATTGTTATAGAAACTACAGGTAACATTAACTTGCCAAGACCTCTTATTTATGAAGAGGCCTGTTTATCTCACGTTAATTAAACAAACGTAAATAGCAATGTTTTTTCTGCTTACAGCTATGCATGAATAACCCGCCCTTCTCTCCCCTGCTGATTTGGAAAATGCCACAAAATGCTATCCCACGTATTAAAAAAAGTGGGCAGATTCAACCACTTACTTTTCTAATTATCCATTCACTATTTTTTATTTTTATGCCCAAAACAATTGTTGGCTATTTGGTGAGGCACTACAAAAGTGAGTGGCTGAATCTGCCTCTTAAAAAAGATCGCGTTTTAACCTTATTCACTAACAATCCCATTCTTTAATACATTTACAGGACCATCCAAACACCGTCTTAGTTTTTTTCATCTCTTAATAGATATAATTCGACTCTTAAATGTTTAATTATTCATTGATGTCTTGTGAAAGTGGAAGTGTTTGGAATAGCTCTCTGTCTCTCTCTCCGTCCACTGAATTGTGTTTTGAGTTATTTGGTCCATTGTGTAAGTAAAAGGGCTTGTTTTCTTGCAGGCCTTGCAAAACCAGCTCCTGTTATTGACACTTTCTGTTCAGATGAGTTGGTTGCACGGTATGTTAAGCTTGATGGTGTTGTCACTTTAGTTGACTGTAAGCATGCTACGAAGCATATGGATGAGGTAAAACCAAGATTTGTGGTGAACGAGGCAGTTGAGCAAGTCGCATACGCTGACAGGCTCATATTGAACAAGGTCAATATACATGAATTGAAACTTTTTACATTTTTTATGCTTTTCTCTTAGTCTTTGGTGTGATGTGGATTATGTTTTCCTTTTGGGATAACAATCGTTAAGAAACTATTTATTCTTATCATACCTTTTTGTCGTGCGGTTATTTGGTTATTCATTCTGAGGCCATGTGTTGCTCACATTGGTTTCTTCATGGGCAGATTGATTTGGTGAGTGAAGATGACTTGGAGGCATTGACCACGAGACTCAAGGTCTGAAGTTGCACTATAAAAATCACTATTATTTTCTAATTGTTAACCATTCTATTAATACAAATTATTCGTTTTTAGTCTATTGGTAAAGAACATTGGCAAAATGAGGTTTTGATGCAAGCTCCAATAATGAAGAACAATGTCATTGACATGAAGCTTACTGTGTGCAGCTTATCAATGGGATGGCTCGAATTAAACAAGCCAAGTTTGGGGAAGTTGATGTTGACTTTGTATTGGGAATTGGTGGATATGATCTTGACAGGTCCCAAATTCTTTATTTTTGTGTTTGTTATCTAAATTCTCCCCTTTCTAGTTACTAGAATTGTTGCCTTATAAAAGTGGATTGATTTGCCCACATACAATGGTCACATATTTTTTGTTGTTACCCAAGTATAATGGTCCGTTTAATTTGTGGCCTGACTGCCAGGCCTGGGATAGATGTTTCTGGCCTAGATTCTTATTAGGTGGGGTCTAGGCCAGGCAGTTCGCAGCCCAACCTGGTCACATATGAGAGAAAATGTCCGGGCCAGGATTGACCTTGCCAAAGGGTTGGGCTAGGGCCCTAGGATTTTGGGCCAAGCCGGCCCTGCCTGTCACTCACCCTGCTTATTCCCTTTTGTGGTCTCTTTTCTTTATTTTATTTCTCTTTATCTTTATTTTAATTTATTTCCTCTTGATCTTTTGTCTTTTTTTTTTTGTTATTTACAGTCCAGTTTGTTTTTGTATTTTGTTTTCCTGTTTTCTATTTCTTATGCAGTATCCATCTCCTTTTCATTCTTCTAATTTGTTTTTTGTATTGGTCTTCAGGATAGAATCTGAAGTTCAAGTTGATGCTTCTAATGGGGCACATCATCATGATCATGAGCATGGCAGTGGTACTGTCTTTATTATGTAAATTATGTTTCTGTTCTATAATTATAGCAACATAATCATTTCTATGCTTGGCCAGACTTAATTTGATAATCAGAATGATATATTCTGTATTAATTGTGACTTGTATTACATAAACATAGTAGCATCCTTGCTACTACACTTTCCTCTTCTATGATAGGACAATTTAGCATCACAGATATTAGTCCAATCTAGTTCTGTAGACATCTGTTATAAAAAAATGCATCACATCATTCTCTCACTGAAGTGACACTGCCTCTTGAACACCTGAAGAGAGAGAGAGAGAGAGAGAGAGAGAGAGAGAGAGAGAATACTTCAGCAATATATGTGTGCAATCTACCTATGCATATCCTTCATTGCTTCCTAGGTACAAATATGTTGCCTTAGCTTTGTAATCTTTTCTTAGATCTTTTTTTTCTTTTTCCCGGGCCACTAGTTTGTACTTTTATGAAGGTATTTTTTAGATATGAATACCATGGGACTTACTTCTTTTTTTTTTCCTTAATGTGTAGATCAAAATGGAGACCATCACCATGGCCATGTCCACGATTCAACTGTGTCTTCTGTTAGCATTGTTTCTGAGGGAAACCTGGATCTTGATGAGGTTGCTCTCTCTCTCTCTCTCTCTCCAATGATGAAACCTATGCTCTTGCAGATCTAAAACAAATACTCTAACCACTTCAGAAACTTTGAGATAAAATCAAGGGTTTTCCCTTTTCGATAATAAAAACTGGAGCCTTTCTTCTTCAATAGTGGACTTGATGTGTTTTTTGTTTTTTCCTATTGTGAAACTCCAGGTCAATGATTGGCTTGAAAGACTGGTTGAAGAAAAGGGAGATGACTTGTACAGGATGAAGGGTGTTTTGTCCATTGAGGGATCAGATGGACGTTATGTATTCCAGGTAAATGCCTCCCACCACCTCCTCGCCCCCCCCCCCCGACAAAAAAAAAGCCCTACTTTATCTCTCTCTCCCTCCCTTGTTTGTATTTATGGTTGTTTCAAATCACCTTTGTTCTTTCTTCTTTGATTGGGTTTGTTGGTAGTAAAGGAATACGTCTAATGGATGAATTTTAGTCCCATATTGCTTTGAAATGAAAATTTCGTGGTCATATAAGTGGGAGTCATTTCTTGTAGCTTTCTGGGGGCTCAAAAGAGAGAGTGCCATGCAGATTTTGGGTGCTTTTAACTTATGTGCTTAACACAGCACACGGCTGACTGATTGGCTCTTCTTTGCTTTTGGGTGGTTGGGCTTCGGGCCGGGACTCTTTTATTTTTGCTGCCCAAGGCTTCTTGCCATGTTAAGCAGTGTTTCCGGGACATTTTCACTGCTATTGAAGTGGTGACTTCTCGCCACCGTGCAGTTTCACATAAACCTTTGCACGTGTCTCCACCAGCCAAACGCTTTGCCAACTGTCTTGCTTTTGTGCCAGTATCTCCTAACCATTTCAACAGCCAATAGAAATCAACTAAGTTTTAGGAACTTCGACAAATATAGTGAGAAACGAAATTATGTTTCTTCTACGAGCTCTAAGAAATTACAAAATCTCTAAGAAACTACTTTTATCTACAAAATTTACACAAAAATCTCTAAGAAATTTGTTCCTTTTGAATTTAAATCGAGTGCATACCTAAATCAACATAAAGGCAAATCAGTACGGTTTTGTATTCTACAGAATCTTCTTTGATCATATATATTTGTGAATAATTATAGTGCTTCATTGGGCTTTGTTGTATCTTGAAAGCATACTCAGTTTAAGAAAACATGATTGCATCTTGGTAATCTACTGCAAGGATTTTTAATACTTGAAGAGAACGAGAGTGTCTCTTGCATTTGGGTCCATATGTTGAAGCACAGGGATAAGGCGCAGATGATGACGTTGAGGCATAGGGTTCTCTCTGTATTTGGAGAAGTTTGAGGTATTGGGTCATTTTGCCACTTTTGTGTTCATGTGTCAAAAGTTTGATCTTTAAGCCCACTCTGAATCTCGTATTCAATATAAGAGTGTACGAGTTCACTGCTTGAGTCGAACCTTGTGCCACAAAAAAGCTGTTTTATAATTTACACTGAAATTAAGAAATCTGAATTTCTCACTGTGGAAATGACTACTGACAGTTCTGCTGTTGAGGTCATTTGTTACATGATTCCATTCTTTTATATATAATTCCATTCATTTATTTGGTTGCCATTTTCCTAGTATATGGTTCTTATAAATAGATGAAGAGCGAGAATTTTTTTTTTTTTTTCAGATTCGTTACATTCATGGAGAGAGAGAGAGAGAGAGAGAGAGAGAGAGAGAGAGAGAGAGAGAGTACTTCGTTGTTGTGTACTCTACTACTATATACTAGTAGTTAGTTTAGTTTGTAGTAGGTGTGTCTACTCTAGTG